GTTTTTAAATTAAGATTTTAAATATATACATACACAGACACACACACACACACATGATTTATACCCAAAATATATTGTTCCTCTCCCTATAGTGGATGCTAGTGATAGTCCTTTAGTGACTTCAAAGTTACAATGGCCCTGAACAAGTGACTTATGGCTGCATTTTGTACTTTTCACCGATTTTAGCATCCCCATGGTTGTGTGATCAGGTTCACTTCCGTTCCTGGAATAGAGAAAAATATGTTTCAACAAGCATTAAGGAATGTATCCATATAGGGCAGGGGCATCCAAATTTGGGGACTTCAACTCCCAGAATTCCCCAGCCAGCATGGGAGTTGAAGTCCACAAGTCTTAAAAGTTCCCAGGTTTGGACATCTCTGATATAGGGAATATGCCAAGAATATAGCGCCACCCGGACCAGATGGTCTACTCCGGGGAGGGGAACGGTAACCAGGTGGAGATAAAAAGGGCAAACAGGGATGAGGGGGAATGTACCAATATAACGGGTGCGATCAAAGGCCTCTTAAAAAGCATGTAGGGAGGGATGGTTCTGGGCCGTGGAGACGATCTTGAAAGTGTAACCAGTGGCCTCTTGAAAGGCAAGTTGGGAGGAGTTACAATCTATGGAGTTACAACCCCGGGGGACGTAAGAGCGAAACCTCCCAGCGCTTTCTCTTCCTAAGGCGGGACCCAAAAACAAAAGCCGAGCTAGATCGCTTTGAAGTGTAGCAAAACATCCCGAGCGTTCCAAACGAAACGGGCCAATCAGCGCCTCGCCTTTAGCGGCCAATTTGCATGCGAATGCCAACTCAGCGCGAGCAAAAGCGCCTTTCCGCTGCAAGGGGCGTCCCCGGGAAAGGGCGGAAGGGAATCAGTTGCAACGGGGAGGGAGGGAGGGAGGGAGGCGGGGCTTGCGGCCATGCACCGCCCCGGGGAATGGAGGGAGGGGGGGCCTGACTCCTCCCCTTTGGTGGGAGCCGGCAGATCCGGGTCTCCTTGCAAAGGGCCGGAATCTGACGTGGTCAGTGCAATCAAAACAAGACTCTAGAGGGTGGATTTCTTCCTCTGCGAGCCTCGCCAAATTGCACCAGCCGCCGCCGCTAATTTGGTGAGTTCGGTTGGGCTCCGGCTTCTTGACACCGAGTCTTGGGCTCTCTGCGGTTCAAAAGGGATGCAATCCGTCACCCGGGGGCTGGGGGGGGGGGTGTTGGCTGCGAGGGGAAAGGAAGGCAGGGCGTGATGGGATCCTAAAAAGTTTCTCCGGCTTGGAGCGAAATCAGATCCTCCAGCTTTCGCATTCCGGGGGCGATCGCTTGCTCGGTTGCACCCCAGCTGCTCCCGAGAGAGAGAGAAAGAGAGAGAGAGATCCTTAGGAGGAGGGATGCGCTCTTATGGGCAGCCTCCCTTGCGCGAATGGCTCGGGAGAAAGTTGCGCGTGGAATAGCGATCTGGCGTTGCGTACCTATGGATCCATTTTGCCCCGGCGGCTTCGTGTTCGTGTGAGTGGCTCGATCTAAAAGAGGAAGCCGGCCTTATACGCTTTGCTGGCTAAGGTCTGTTTGTCCTGTGCATTCCGATTTATTTTGCAACTTAATCGAGCGGTACAGTTGATAAGTAGGATCTAAAAAAAATAAATCTGGAATTCTTTGGAAGTGATGCAGTTATGTGGGCTCAATGAGGTCATCAGCTATCCTTGCTCCCTAGAGAATGCTTGAAACTAATGAGACAGACCTGACTGCAGGGAAAAAAGAGTAAATTATTGCTAATATTTAATACCTTTAGTATTACACCATTTAATATGCTGAGCAATCTGGTTGAAGCCCTCTGTAATCTCCATGTTGAGTTGAAAGTTTATTACTCTGATAAAATCTTCTTGCTTTTCAGAAGGAACTTATCTTGGCTCATAACTTCTCATCCATTCTGGGGTCAAACCCTTTAAACTGACCGTATAATTTTATTAGTTATTCCAGAATGATTAGGCGTAGCATCTTAAAAATAATATGACTGTGAAATGCTTGTGCCTGAATAACTTTGAAACTGGTCTTTTGTCTCAGGCCATGATGGGACACACACGTCTCATCAAAAATGGCTTTAGGTATGCACTGCTCAGTTGTGTGTGTGTGTATGTTTGTCACCTTCAGTTATTTATAGAAGAACTGAGCTCCGCTTAAGGAAGATAACTTTTTTTAAAAATAATCTCAGTATGTTTTAGTTGCTTCTTTTTTTCTTTCTGTTTCCTCTTCCTTCCCAGTCCTTTATTGCTCCTGACTGTCCTCCTGTTTATTCTTGCTTACAAAAACACACACACACCCAAACTCAAGTCTAAAGTTGCAGCGGATAAACAGAGCCAATTGTGAAGTTTCTGGGCTGTAGCCAACGACAATTCTCTTGACTCTCAAAGATGACCAGAGACTACATATTTCCCTGCCTGGATTCTTTTAATAATTCGCCACTCGCTTTGAAATATGCTGAAAGGTTTTCAAGAATGGACAGAAGCCGTTGCAGAATATTAAAATCTCTCTGGTCACTAATGGACATCTTTGTTTGTTTGTTTGTTTGTTTATTATCTTCCCTTGAATTGTATCCTATTCTTCTACCTTTCTCGTTCTGGTTTGGCTATTTTTGCTCTTAATTCCCAT